GATGGATGGATGGATGGATGGATGGTCCTAGAACTACACAAGAGTTGAAGTTCGGTTAAGTTTTACTGAAGAGACGTATTAGATTAGCTGTTCATAGAGCTTTCAGGTTTACTCTAGCTCAATGCAAGTGAAACTATCAGCACTGCTGACAATCAAAGAACAGCTCTCTAGGCTATTTGTTCAATCGATGCATTTTATAGTGATTTTTATTGACATTTGCTGCGAGGTATGTTTACTGTTTCCTAATTCTGAAAATTACAGCTGTAATTTAATTTCCAGTATTGTAATCTTCTTCATCTTTGGAACTATTTGTAATTGATAAGAATCTGATAAAGATGTAAATACATACTTGTCATTCTCTTAAACTTTTATTATATTTTAATAACTTTTCTTACAAAATGATAATACAAGATTTTAGAACCCCGGGACCAATGAAACAATCAATATAGTGCATTGTATCAGTATTATATCGCATCTTAATAGCTTTTTTTTTTACGCCAACACACTTCAATCGATCCCCATTCAAACCCCAATAAGAAGATTAGCATGCAAGCTTACACACACACACACACACATACAAAAAATCTTTAGACGATGTCTTGTCTTACTTCAGTTAATCCGACGTCTGAATTTAAGAACCTGAAAAGAGAGGTTGAATTGATGAAATATCTCTCCGAATTCAAAACTGTGATCGTAAGTAGGTATACGAATACTGTACACTTTAATGACTGGAGTATATATAAAGACTGGTTCACATTCTCTTTTTCTTATTATCAAACTCATTAATAATTCATGAGGAAAACACAACAGAAATCACGACCGTGAAGAGTTTTGTAAATCAGATACAGAATAGCCTGCGTAGCGGCCCAAAGGGAAGGGGAGGGGGACTGGGGAGAGGAAGGAAGGAGTGGGAGGGCCTGCAATTAACCCCCTCGATTTTTCCTACCGCCCCGTAATTAATATGCAAACTCTCAACCTATCAAATTAAAGAATAAAATCATGTTTATTTCTGTTTCTATGAGTCAACCAATCAAAATTAACGTTCGGATTCTGAACGTTCGTAGGAAAAATCGAGGGGGTTCATTGCAGGCCCTTCCTCTCCTTCCCTCCTCTCCCCACTCCCCCTACCCTTCCTCTCCCCACTCCCCAATCCCCTTCCCTTCCCTTCCCATTTGGGCCGCTACGAAGGCTGTAATAATATATACTTGTCACGCAACATTAGGTTCTATTATGTAACAAATGTAATGACTCTCTCTCTCTCTCTCTACACACATTGTATCAAGTTAAGCACCAGAATAAGTATACCGAATTATTCATCATTAAAGCAAGCAATMATAATCAAAGCCTCCACTAAATATTATGACGTGGTGTCAGAAGTAAAGCACTAAACGCACAAGACATTGGAAGGTCAGTAATATTAAGAAATAAGCGGTTTCTTTTGGCAAGAAACACATCAAGCATGGCGACAGGGTTCACGCCCCCTGTTATGAACTGGCAAGCTGGAGCCGATATCACCGACGAATTTGCTAGATTTAAACAATATTGCCAATTAATATTCACCGGTACGTTCTCAARGAAATCAGATGTAGAAAAATCCTCATATATATTACTTTGGATAGGCCGTCAAGGCGTAGATATATACAACAGTTTCACATGGGCCGACGACGATGACAAAACAAAGCCCRACCTTATTTGGTCCAMATTCGAAAAGCATCTTGCACCTAAAACTAACTTTAGATTAGAAAGATATCAGCTTCAACATCTAAAACGAAATACCGATGAGAGCACTGATGATTTCATGACTAGGTGCAGGAATCATGCAAATAAATGCAAGTTTAGAGATCAACAGGAGTTAGAAGAACGCCTGATTGAACAATTGATTATAGGCACTAAGCATGTTAAAGCTCATCAAGAGCGCATACTAGAGCACGGAAACGACTTAACGCTTGATAAAGCAATAGAATACGCCAGAACATACGAAGCAACGATGGCGCATATAGCACAGCTATCCAACAAACCGCTTGACAACCAAAGCGTGCACGCAATAGGAAAATCCGGAACCGGAAACATGAGAAAATGTGGAAACTGCGGAAACACTCACGAATACCGAAAATGTCCCGCATATGGTTCTACATGCAATTACTGCTCCAGAGCTAACCACTGGAGTAAAATGTGCCGCCAAAAGAACAGGCCCACACAACAGCCCACAAACCAACATACGACACAAGACAAAAAACCATCCCATCAAGACAGCACACAAGACGCACGTCACAAAAACAAGCGCGTCCATGAGATGGTGAACACAAATAATTTACATGAACATTTTGACTCATTGAATTTTGAATCAATAAGTATCGATAGCGTCAATACTAAACCCAGAGATGAAGTATACACAACACTAGGCGTTCGATTGGCCAACATGCGAAACGCACAAGCTGCGAACTTGAAGGCCAAGGTAGACACAGGAGCACAAGCCAACATCCTACCAATCCGACTTTTCAAACAGATGTTTCCGGAGAAAATTGGTCCAGACGGAAACCCTCTACCTAAARSCCTAAAGCCATCAGCAACAAAGCTCACAGCATACGGCGGATCAGAAATCGGTCAACTAGGCATATATGATATAGAATGCACACACAACAAATTACAAACCAAAGCACCATTCCACATCACCAACGCGCCAGGCCGTGCAATCATAGGCCTGCCAACAGCACTAAATTTAAGGCTAATTACACTGAACTGTTCTGTGGAAACACAGGACGATGCCAAGCAACCACGCGGCCAAAGTCAAACAAACCACGCTACGAGCCAGAAGATAGAAAGTAAAGCACAGCTATTATCCAAATACCCCAACTGCTTCGACGGCATCGGAAAATTCCAAGGCGAATACCATATCACGCTGAACCCCAACATAGCCCCTGTGATTCACCCACCAAGAAGAGTACCAATCAGCCTTAAGGATGATATCAAGCTAGAGCTAGACGAGATGATGGAACAAGGAATAATCGCAAAGGTCCGAGAAGGTGAACCCACCGCATGGGTCAACAGCCTAGTCTATAGACGCAAACCCAACGGTAGAATAAGAATATGTCTGGATCCTAAAGATCTTAATGCCGCCATTCAACGTGACCACCACGTTACGCCAACACTAGAAGAAATTCTTCCCAAACTCAGCGGAGACAAGCATTTTTCAATTCTAGATGCCAAAAGCGGATACTGGAACGTCGTCCTCGACAAAGAATTAAGTTACCCCACAACTTTCAACTCCCCGTTTGGCAGGTAYCGGTTTCTGAGAATGCCATTCGGCCTCCGTATGTCACAAGACGTATTCCAATCCAAAATCGACCAGACATTCGAAGGCTGTAAAGGAGTCATTGGAGTCGTCGACGACGTAGTAGTCTATGGCCAAACAGAAGAAGAACATGACCAAAACTTGCACAGCATGATCCAAAGATGTGAGAAGACTGGGTTAAAGCTCAATCCAGACAAATGTCACATAAAGCAAGATAAGATCAAATTCTATGGCATCATCTGTAGCGAAGCTGGAATACAGCCCGACCCTGC